TAATCCAAGTTTACAGTCTAAAACATCTAAAAGTATTGAAATTGAGAAAGCAATTTCATTTTATCAAGATAAGTCACGTGTTAACAATACGGAAAAGGTGACAAAAAACTGGCTAGAGCATTTTGAAAAGTTTCGAAAAAGTATGATAGAAGTTTATCCACATGACAAAAACTATAAAACTGAATTAAAATCTATTTCTGAGTTATCTATACTAGATAATCAAGTAGCTGCCTATGTTGCTACTATAAAAAAAAAGATGGCACTGAATATAAAGCTTTATCTGTACATCAATCTGTTGTTGGTATCAATCGCTATTTAATGGAATATTCGATTATTCATAGTATTAATTTACATGATCATCATCAATTTCCAAATTTATTAAAAGTCCTTGATAGAAAAATGAAAGAATTACAAGATAAAGGGCTTGGCAAAATAAAAGGATCTGCAGCTTTAACTCAACAAAATATCTCTGATATTTTATCACATTTAACAACATCAATATTAACACCTGATACTCTTATTAAAAGAGTATTCTTTCATAATGCATTTTTTTTAGCCTGTCAGGGTGGTAAATATTATAATTTAAAAATCGATCAATTTAATTTTCGTAATGATAGTGGAATCAATTTTCAGAGATTTTGAGCAAAAAATAATCAGCGTGAAGTTATAGGTGGTGCAGCACAAAAAGTATCAATTCCAGCAGATTCACCTAATTTTAGAGGACCATGCTATGATTATCGTCTTTATTTCAAAAAAAGACTATTAGATGCTAACCAGGAATTTTATTTATAAACAAATCCTAAATGTATATATTTATGTTCATAAGTTGTTTTTTTTTATAATATTAATAAAAAAAATTAAATATATTTAATTTAATAGGAAAGAGACTGGAATTTGGTATCGCAAACAACATATCAGCAGAAATTCCTTATCTGGATTTATGAAAGATCTTGTTCATAAAACTGGTATTGAAGTTGATGGCCTTTTAACAAACCACTCTGGACAAAAAACAGCTGCACTTTCTAAACTACGTCCACATGCAAGTATTACTAATTCACATTACACAAAGCCCAAATCTGGGTGATCCTTGTAATAATAGCCCTAGCGTGACTATCATCAACGCATAGGGCTATTTCCAGATTCTCATTATACTTCTGTACTATTGTTTTTGTTGTTAATTAACATTGGTGTATTTTATAAACTTAGCTTATCAACAAGAACAACCATTTTTTTAGTCAGCAGTTTTTATATGTTAAACCAATTTTTTTGATATCGTGTAGTAAATCAAACAAAATATATAACTAGAAAGAATCTGAATTAGTTCGAATCTGAGATCTGAGCAATAGCGTGAAAAAAATAGCATAGAAGTATAAATAAGAACTGGGGAATAAGTATAAGATATTGGTTATGCAATGATTAATATCATCGCATGATCCAATATTGATGTTATCGTGCAATTATGATCATGATTTATGGCTAACTGAGTTTTAATTCGAGATTGTTGTACTTACGTAATAACTTACAAAAAATAACAAGAAGAAAAAAATCCATGATCATAAAAGTTTGCACGATAACTATATTATTCAGGGCCTGAAATGACTCAAATGACCAAATAACAAATAACTAGTCATTTGTTATTTCAAGGCCGAATAACCCTAGAAGGTCATTTAACATATAATAGTAATACCTTTTGACTAATCAGAACTGACCGCCAAACAAAATTAAAATTTTATAAATAATCATAGCTATATATCAAAATCATTTATCTTTAAGTAAAGTTGTTCAGGATAATAAATTGCATATGGTTTAAAATTTTTAGGTAGATTGAATAACTTTTTAATATTCCCCATTTACTAATTGTTCGCCCGTGATACTGCATATTAATATTTTACTAGATCTATTATCAGAAATCAATTTTTTAGTAAAATATCACTATTGCATAATACTGTGAAATATCATACCAAAATTGTACTGCTTATTTATTAATCGGTTAATTTACTATCGCATTATTGAAATC